GAGAGTGAACTTGGGCAGGGAGAGGCCGGGGTTGGGTTGTACGCAATGGTCCAGGTGGTGGAATAGGTTGATTCGAGTGTGATGGTGGTCTAGTATGCGGGTTGTTGCTTCTGCGGATCAGCAGGTGAGTGTAGGAAGGGGTTGGTGTCGGTTGAGGAAAAGGGGAATTTCCGGAAGTTGACCGCATGATAGACGAGAATTGAGCCGGTGGAACGGTAGAGGTTTGCGAGAGGGACGGTGGTGACGTGTAAAGGTCGTAATACGGAGTCGATTGTTGGAATTGGCCGTACTGCGGCATTGGGGGTGCTTCGTAGTAAGGAAATGGAACTGGATCAGGGAGCAACTGTTGAGGAAAAGGTGCTGTGGAGTGAACGGGGTCCGGATCGTAAAGAACTGGGCCGGCGCGAGTTGCGTGAGGAAGCATGAGTTGGATCTGCGAAGCGAGATTGCTGTTTGAGCAAGGTGAAGGATGGTTTTGCCGTGCGTTGTTGCTGTTTGGCAAAGGTTGTGCTGGCCGCTCGGCCGGCTGGGTTGAGTAGTGAAAGGGTAACGGCTCGGGGTTAGCAGATTGATGTGATGAGGAAACGGAAGATGAGGTTTGAGCGGAGCTAGAGGAGGACGACTGGTGAGAAACGGAGGGGGTTGGTGTGATTGTCCTAGGTGTCGTGGAGGTGGCGAGCTCTTCGTTGGCGGGCTCCAACGCCTGCTCAGGAAGCATTGGTCGGACGCCGTCGTCGAGATCAGCGAGGGCCTCCTCACGTATAGTCATACCCAAACGTCGTGCTAACACATACATGTGTTTGCACGCGGAGTTGGTGCTTGTGAAGTGGGGACAGCTACAATTGTTCACTGAGCCGGCGCGGCCGTTGATGCTAGGGGTCGTGTTGATAGTGTATTTCGTGCGAGGGCGAGTAAAGGAGCCAATAGAGTACTGGCCTGGGAGTCAGCGGTTGGGAAGGTAGGTGTAAGTAACAAGTTAGGCACTTACTTGTGAGTTGCCAAGCGGGGAGGTAAGGCAGACGAGATTATCGAGGTCCTCATCGGTGTAAGAATTGGCGAGGCCCTTAGCGATATTTTGAAACTTGTTGCTCCGCTGAGCGCGGAAGCCAAGAGTGGTGGTAAGTAGAATCTGGCAATATTCAGTTTCTACGTCTTCCGTTAAGATATGTAGGAGTTCATCGGGCCGGCAGAGCTTGAGGCGGTCGAGAAAATTGAACTTGAGGACTCTATGATATGATTCATTATAATTATTTGTATGAATTCCTTGAGTAGGAACATCACGCTCCGAAAGCATGCAATGCGAGGCGTTGCGAACCCACTGGGTCTCGAAGTATTGGACAAAGGCAGGGTACATATGGCGGTTCTTGCGCTTGAATTCTTGCCAAGCGTCCTTCCAATAGTCGGAATAGATGACGGCCATAGCTTCCTGATGGAGCTGCACAGCAGGCCCCTCCGGGGCCTAGAACGGGGTGAGCTTGTGAACAATGAGTAAGCAGGAAGAATGGACTGACGCTAAGGCGGGCTCGTGCCCGTATCGCGCGAGAAACGTGATAAGTACACCAGAAGTGCTTTGGGGGATTGCGGCAACTGGCGTAAGTGGTGGCAAGGGCGCTTTGGTAGGACAATGCGCAATCCGTCATGAACGCCGTGGGTAATACGCCGATTTCGTCCTTCAGCCATGTGAAGAAGCGGACGAGGCTAGGTCTGCAAGGGCACGGTGAGTTAGCTTCACAGTGGTTAAGAAGACTATGTTTCACTTACGCCTTTTTGTCCGAGGTGAGGAACCAGGCAACCGGCACTCCGCTGCCGGTGACGGGATTGCGAATGATAAGCGTTAAGAGTGTAAGTTTGACAGTTGGCCACTCGGGCACATTGTTGGTGATGTTGTGAGTGGAGTCAAAGCAGATAACACCTTTCCCGTGAAGAAGCAGCTGTTGCTTTTGCCACGGCGATACAAGGCCAATCTGGATGCGTTTATAAGTTGGTCGGATGTCGTTGTAAACTGAATAACCGCGCTCCGACAACCTTTGAGTCCACTTCATCAACGAAGTAATGAGACTAGGGTCTAGTCTTTGGATGTTTTTGGCAGCGTTGCGAACGACATTGCGAAAGTCGGCGTATGAGACGCGGAAGGCCTCAGGAATAACGGACAAGGATTGAAGTTCGTCCTGCGATAGGAGGCGTTAGTTGGAAAACTTATGCGTAATGATGAGTGGAAGGGTGAACGAACGGGGAAAAGGTCAGGACAGCGTAACAGTCGCTGAATTGTCCGCCACGTAAGGCCTTCCAAAATCCTGTCGTTGAGCCATGTCTTCACGACAGCCGGCATGCGCATGTTACGCATGTCTTCTACAGAGAACGGATTATGGTTCTCGTGTTCCCAATGCCACTCGAATTCAAATTCACCAGTGAGAGTCTTTTTCAATATAAACTTGGCCGGACATTGAACTTTGATTGAACCGGAAGATTGACGAGTTAATTCTGTGATCTTTTGCTTGATTTGTGTGCAAGGATTGCCGGAGGAACTACATTTATACGTTTCGGTCCACTCATGAACCCTTTTGGGGCCACGCTTGCTCGAGGAGGGTGGCTTCTTGGCGATGACGACACCGGTGGGTAAATGAAGATGCCCATTGAATCGGCGACCCTTGGTCACCCAACGTGAGGAGGTACACGTCGCGAACACAAGGTCAGTCTCAATACCGGGGGTCTTGGGTAGTGTAAGACGAAGGGGTTTTCGATCTCCGAAGTCTGGTGGTGACCTTGAAACATCGCGGACGTAGCGCATGGATGAGGGATTGAAGTCAAATCCCGGTGTGGGTGGCGCGAGATAAGCCAGTGGTAAAGGCACGAAATCGTAAATATCGGTGCAGCGGGGGTAATGTTCTAAGCCAGAAAGGATTCTGCGATTATGGCGAGTGTGAGATCTAGTGGAGGGGAGTTGGAGGTAGTCACCGCCGGGACGAGAGCTCGGCGTGCGTCGAGGTTTGTGTGGTTGCATACTAGCAGATGGCGTATGCGGCGAAAAAGGACTTGGCAAAAATTTCGGACGAAGTCTCAATCAAAGCAAGCGTTGTTTGGTGTACCAGACGTCTTTGCCGAGCTCGAAGGGGGCCCATGTCGGTGTCTGACTCACGGCGGCTTTACGCATATCAATATCGCCTTGCAATTATCAAAAATCAATCACACTCAAGCAATTCCAACGGGAATGCAAGGAAGTGCGTTACGATCCGCTTGTCGCAGACAAAATGGGCCGCAAAATCGCGGCAAATATCAACCAATCCCGTTCCAAGGGAAATCATGCAATCGGGTGTCACGCATCGGCAAATCGCCACACACAGCACCTGCTTGCGCTCGGCAAACACTATCCTGGCACGTGGCAGTCCGGTGCAAGACCGCAACGCTCAGCGTTACATGGTTCCGCGCAATCAATGATGGCGAGGATGGGCATATTCAGTAGTAGGTCAGATTTAAATTGCAGTTCAGGACTGTGCCAGTGCAGCGGTCGCGGCAGCCGACAGGCAGAGCGAAGCTCACGCTGATGCTGCCTTCTTTTACGGGTGATATTGCCGTTGGCGCTGCAAATTGCATGTTTATCGAAAGGAATGACGGAGACGTCTTAACCGGATTTCAACCACGGAATCACTGAGTCGAAGTTCAAACACCGACGTTTGGCCCCGCTACGCGGGCCCCGTTGGTAGATCCATCGCTTGTGCCGAGTTGTGGATTGTGACCGTGTCGGGTATGTCAAATCAGTTACCGTTGTTTGAAATCATTTTTGATTCAATATCATTTCAATTCACTTGTCAGCCCCAAATCGCATTTGGATTTTCCTCTCTGGCGGATGCATACAGAGATTTGCGTTAGTTCTTTTGAAACGTGCGGGTAGAATAGTTTCAGGGGATGGTGCGAGGCAGAACACGGTCGCACTTGAGCATAACTAGGAACGTTCCCTAGATGATTAAGGAACATAGTTCCTACGCCCAAAGTGTCAATTGCAATTGATATTACGTCTCACCTGTCTCAGTACATGTCCCCGGTACAGATACCGTGACCAATCGAGATCATCCTCCCACCTCCTTCCACCCATGCAACCCGTTTGCAACTTCAAAAGTTGTCAAGTTTTTCTCAACCATCGTCGGGTTTATATGTGTTGTTTTCATTTCCTTACGTTGATTGAATCATTAGACATCGATGGTTCAAAAATCATGTCGTTATGTGTAGCTCATCTTGATAACAATCCTCATTCTCCATCCGGTTCTAAGCAATATGTAGAGTCTATTATGTTTATCGAGCGTGGCTAAAAATTTCCTGATGTCCTCCGTTGTGGTCCTGCGAAGGTTGCATTATTGTGTTTTAGCAGACAATCATCAATGCCATTGACACGGCTACTTGGTTGGGCATCCAAAAGCGAGGAGGACCTCGCTCCTTGTGTATAGCTGGATAACAGTGGATAACACGTTACACATTGGGAGTTGGTGTATTGGGTATCTCACTGTGTAACACATCGGTCTGTAGTCTGACACTGCGGTTGGCAGGGATGTGCAATATGCATGTGTGATACTTGTTTAGGAACGTTCCTTAGGGTTCTTAAGGAACCTTTTTTAGGGAACATTCCCAATTATGCGCGGATGCGACCATGCCCTCGTGCGAGGGCTGCTGGCATAGCGGCGCGGGATCCGAGTCTCACCGATGTATAGTTTGTCGACTTGTCCTCCGAGTTCCAGCAAACCGCGAGTTTCTGTAGGACGTATGTAGTCTTCATCTCAAACCGATCGTTTTTGTGACGCAGGCTCGATGTAAAATTGTGGATGGTAAGCGTCATAAAAGGTGACCATCCATCATTCTAGAATTCCGCCTTTGGAACAAGCTTTCTTACAATCATTTGCATTCATTTCTTGAGCAACTTTTTGAGATATCTGTCCTTCTTATTTTGCCTCCAACGCTGCTCTCGTGCAGCTATACAATCAACCTATCATCCACGCCTCTCTGAATTCCAAATCCGGGCTCTGCCTTCTTCCTGATACCACTACATTCCCCAGCGGTTTTCAAGCTTACACGGCATGAAGATGAGATCTCTCCGTATCTTCGCCCCCTACGCTCTTCTGATTCTCTGCGGATTGGTCAATTGGACCCATTCAAATCCCACACCTATGACAGAAAGTGATGTGGCCAATTTGGTAGCTGATGAAAGTCTTAGTGATGGAAAATTTGTCACGACTGGCGTCAACCACGGTCGCACGGCTGATCCTTCATCACAAGTTCTAGAAAGAGTGGAGCCAGAAAGTGCAAAAACAAACGAAAATTTCAAATCATTGGCCGGTGATGATGCAAGAGGGAGTCAAACTAACCACGCAAGTAAACCAAAGACGCCGGCTCAAGGAGAAAAGAAGACATTTCTGCAAAAACTCCGATCCTTCTTTGCTGATGGGCCAGTCAAAGTCCGGAAAAAAATCAAGCAATGGTTCTCGAAGGCAAAACCCTCTAAATATGACAAAAAGAAGGTCAACAACCCCAAGGCAAATCCGAAAAAAGACCTGTTATATATTCCTGAACCCAAGACATCAGCGGTAGAGAATTCAGCTAAAGAAAAACCAAATGATTCATCGGTTCACGTGCAACAGATTGGGAACAAAAAGCCTCAGGAGGAATTTAGAACCCCCACACCTCGGATCAAGGAGGCATCTCAACAAGATGAATTCTTCGCATCAGATAGGTCGGTCAAGGACTGGGAAGAGATTGAGAATATGTTCTCACCTTTGTCTGCTTTTGACGAATCAGAAGAGGTAAAAGGTAGCCAACATGATGTCCTAGCATTTATAAATGGGCGCATCCATGAAGTGACAGCCATCTTAGAAAAACCAGAAACAATTCCTTCAGGTTTTCCAATGGATCAAGAATTTCTGAAAACGTTGCAGAAAACCATGGAGGATGAAGAATCTCAATATCGTTCCTCGCGGTCAATAGTAGAAAAAGCCAAATTCACTTTCACAAAGGAGGAAAATAAATCACTGCATACTGGTTGGAATATCATAATTCTGGATTGAGTACATGCATTGACAATTTAAATGTAATACAACAATTGGAACACACCCTTACAAGTGAAGAGAAATCGATAAAATATGATGAAATACTCGAAGAATTGAAATCTCTCAAGGAGGGATTTGAGGAAAGCTCTAGAAAACAAATTGCATTTAATGACTGGTTAAATAGCTGGAAGAGTAGTATAAAACCACCTGAACCCAATACATCAGCGGTAGAGAATCCGGCCAAATAAACAAAAAATGATACATTGGTTCCATCTGAATTGTCTTGACTGCAAGGGTTTCATTTTGACTTATTCTCTTTTGTTAAGCCTTATGTTATTTCTTTACTTATCAGCTTTTATATGAGTTACTGTGTTTGTTTTTATATTCTTCTACATATTGTACCACAGAGAAGGTCTACTTAGAATACAAGACTGTAGACTTTGTCTACTTGGTTTTTTGTGCTAAAATAGCCAATGGCCTGTGAGTTATTGCTTTATGTTTTGATCTTCTTCTATGTATTGTACCACAAAGAAGGTCCACTTAGGTTATAAGGCCATAAACTATGTCGAATTAATTTTGGCCTTAGTTTTTGACACTAAACTACATGGTGTGTGTGGGAGGCTGTGGCCTGTGGTTCTTGTAACCAGGTAGGCTCTCTGCTCCCTTTTCTCAGGACTTAACGTCTGGAGCCAGCAGAGAGCTTCATTGGTAGGTCCTGAGAGGTCTGTGCGCCCATCTTTACAGTTTATCAATATCTGAGGTCTGTGCGCTGGAGCTTTTGGGCAATATCTCTCAGGAAATCATGTTCTCACTCTCCCCCAAATACCATCTTCAAATTTAGATCTCTTATAATGTACATAACATCCTTTCCTCAAACCACTTTCATTTGTATCTTCTTTCCAATTTATTTCTTTCCTCTTTCTTTGATTTGACCTACAATTTCAACTATCATTCATACAAAACAAGACAACCTACCATCATCTGCATCTCTAACTCTCCTTCAAGCTACTGAATTCCTCTTCTGCTGTTGCTTCTTCCTTCACCTTGCGTTCTAGTTTCATTAAGTTCCAATGGTGCTTTGAATCCTTTACATCATCTTTGGTATATTTGCATAAGGATGCGGGTATGCCTTTGATCCCCAGAATCTCAACCTTGTAGTATCTTCCAGAGGCTGACTATCATTCCACTTGAACATCACACCTCCTTCCCAAAAGGAATGTCCCAATATATTGTTACTGTTGTTGTGTTTCTTCCAGATCTTCTTATAAATATTCATTGCTACAGATTTCAATGGTTTCACCAGCTTTCTGTTTTCAGTATGAGACACAGCGCCCACAACCCCCAACACCAGTGCAGGACAGTGCACTTTTTGTGAAAGGTGCACTGAGCTGCCATTTGTAATACCAGCCACTGTGGTGTGATGTGCAAATTGTTCAGTGTGTTGAAATTGCAAAAACCCATGTTCTGTAAAAATAACAGTGAAGCACAGCACAGTAGTCAATTGATTGTGGGGAGAAACTCAAAATTTGAGAAAAATGACAAAACAATAAGAAAAAAGGTTTCAAGGGCATGAAATTTACAGCATGAAATGCACATCCTATTGAATATTGGCCACAACAACAAAAATGTAATAAAGATGATTGAGAAAAACAAGAGAAGTAAAAAAAGAGAGACAATATAGGAAAAGTAAAGTGTTGCTCCTGTTTTCTTGTTAGTCCAGCTTCTAACAAAATGTTCCACAGCTGCCACTACCATTCCCAGCTCTCCATTTGGAACACACTTCTGTCTGAGCCATTGACATATGCCAGCAACTTGTTCAATTGGTACTTCCCACCAAAGGCGCAACACATTTATAAGTGACTTCTATTGTAGCTAGGAGGATAAAAGACCAACTAGGTGCACATGTAAAATTTGCATACACAACAAGGTTGGGTGGGCCAAAAATACAGGACAACAGAGGGAAAAATTCTATCAGCCCTGAGTACACATACATGTACCCAAAACTAACTTTTAACATTAAAAACATTATATATCATGTTCCTTGACAATCCCTATGCACTAACAGGAACTCAATGCTTCATTGATCCACTAGACGGATCTAACTGGGAAGTGAGACAGACTAGATGGGACAATCCCAGCCAACCTGATCCAAAAGGAGACAAGTTAGAACCTACACGTTCAACACAGTCAGTAAAGTCTGCACTCTGGTCTCAAAACAGACACAAAAACGCACAAACCCCCAATCTTATAACCACCTATATAACCAAGCGGTGAAAAACAACTCCCAGCCTTACTTCTAATCAGGGACCAACAACCAAGGAGGGGTTCAAATCAATCCCAACTTCAGGGAAGCAGGAGAAATATATTGCCAACTTTAGGGAAGATAACAATAGGGGAGGTAGAGGTGGAGCAAGAAAAGGTGGAGAGTGGGAGTGGGAGTTGGGGAAGGCCACAAAGCAAAGGAGATGCTGGTAACCACAGCAGTTCAAGTTCACAAGTGAACAGAACAAAGACAGTAGGTGATGCAACCAAGAGGAAGTGAGTGTCATTAGCTAGTGAATCTCGACTTCAAAGACATGAATGCAATGGAACCAAAACTTGAGAAACCAGACACAATCTGAGTGAGAATGTCAGAATGAGAACTGACCAAATGCTTCACCTTGCCACACAACAACTTGGCCACCTGAAGAGCAAGCTAATGAGATACACCACTGCCAACATATTTACCTTGGATCACAAAATCCAAGGTATTCTTGGATTGATGCTGTCCGAGGTTATGATCTGAGGTAATTCTCAGTGCATAAGAACCCCTCGGACAAAAACCTCTGACAAGGTCTGTCCGAGGTTTTGCCTCCAATGATGCCCCGGATTTCTCAACCCAAGGCATCTATGTTGGCAGTGCCCAATGTGTCAACAAACCTGAGACCCGCAAGTGAGGAACGGAGGCAACCTGAACCCCACGGGAAGTGGCCAACTAAAGCCGCTGTTTTGGCAGCGCCTACATGGGTTTTCTGTGGGCTGCAGATAGCAATGGCCTTCTTAAAAGTTTATTCCTATAGACCCCTGCAAAAGATAATTGATGAGTAGTTTGGTTGGAGTTTGCAAGTTGTGAGGAATCTGTACTTTCTTCCTAGCTTTGGATTCTCTCACTGCTAAACCTCTGACAACAAGGTATGGGTTTAGACCTTGCATACCAAACTATTTCATGGAACTAGGCCTTAAGATGTGCCTTAGTTAAGAGTATCATTCTCAGACTCATTCTTGATGTTGCATAATGCATTTGGGCTTCATTCATTAAGCTTAGTCTTAGTAATCTTCTGGTTTTTGAGTGGATGAAGAAATATATCAAATGTACTGAATCACCATTGGATGTGTCAAATACTCACCGTGGACCTCTCATTCAATCCATGATCCTCATATCCACCTAAGCTGTATTCTCAATTGACAACCCTTGGAGCCAGGATTTAACTACACGCTTCTCTGAAAATAACTCCACTTTTATATTAGGAATTCTATATTCATTTCACGACAGCCTACATCTTCCTTGAGGACACATCTTTGCTATCAGATGTTACCATAACATCTATCACCTACGAAATTGCACTCTTACAATTATAAGCATATCACACGTGTCCTGCTCTATAGAAAACATCTTGAAGCTATCCGGTTTGAGAAGCGGGTTTGAAGTCTCTGAGAAGACGGAGAGTCGTTGGATCTAGCCCTTGTTCCGTAGTATCTCCGATCTCACACATCTTCCGTCCAAACCGTTTTCCGAACGTCTCAACCGTTGCTGGGACCATGTCAAGAACGCGCACCGCTCGCGTGGGCGCTGGAGCTGTCTTCTCCCCAGCCAAGTCGGCCAGGGCGGACTCTATACTGATGAGACGAGTGTTGGACAATCCGCAAGGTACAATGTGTTGAAAGCCGGCTTCACATTTACGCTCCACGTTGAGGGCAAAGCCGTGACTAGTAACTCGGCGTCGGACTTGAATTCCAATGCTAGCAATTTTCTTCCCAACGTCACCAACAAAGGTGCCAACTGGTAGATTGGGATCGTCACAAGGATTAAGAGTTCTGATCGGCATTGGAAGTGCTGGGTGAGTGAGGATCTCACTGATGACTTTTAGCAGTTGGTCTACATAGCGGCGAGTGGAGATCTGATCAAGGAAAATCAAAAGATGGGAGCATAGGTCATACTATGTCAACGTTGATCGGTTTCGGAGAAAGGCCGTCGGTTGATTGTTAGGTATTGCTACAATGGACGTGCTCACGCCCATCATCCCAATATCGAGAATAGGATATCCAACCAGCTGTCCAGGTCCATGGAAGGTAGTTTCACCACCCCTTAGAGTAGACACAAATTCGGCACCCGGATTCGCGCGCGACAATCTCGAGGTTTCCTGTTCCAACCAAGCGTTGTCGGTTGCACGCCGACCAGCTGTGTAGACTGGTTGATGTTGAAGCAAGACCAAGAGATCCGGAGAGGGAACTTGTGATTTCGAGTCAATCTTATTCCGTACCAGGGCTTGTTGAAGGGCTAGTGCATCACGGTATGAGACTGGAGTTGGGAGATAAATCCAATAGATGGGCGGTAGAGTCGAAGAATGCGTTAATGTTGAGGTAGCCGAGCACGTTAGTGACTTGAGATCATGAGGGCGGCTCCGGAGGCTTTTCAAGGCGCTAAAGTTCAGGAAGAGTGATCGTGATGATGGGCAGATTCGTTGTCCGAGGCCAGAGAGACTCATAGGAAGTTGTGGTTTGGAGGTGAGTCAAGTTGAGGGACGTTGAACAAGAAGTGTAAAGCCAAAAATTGGATGAACTTTGCCCCGAGAATCCCGAAAGACAAGAAAAGTACGGGACCGCGGCCAGATCCGGTGAGTAAAGCTTCACCCCATTGGGGCTTTCACCACTCTCAAAATCTTCACGCTTGCAATTGTGTCATCCTTTAACCAAATCCCCTATCGCTCAGACAACCAAATCACATACCCTCAAGATGGCAGAACAATCAACTCCAGCATCTTTTAGTCGAAGCGTAGTATCCGGGGCGATGGCCGGCCTAACCGTCGACTTATTCTTTTATCCACTTGATACCCTCAAAACTCGACTTCAATCTCAAGCTGGTTTTATCACTTCCGGAGGATTTAAAGGTGTTTATCGAGGATTAGGAAGTGTAGCAGTTGGCAGTGCGCCAGGGGGTAAGTGAATCGGGGTGGGTGTTGTATGTTCTTCATATGTTATTTCACTCCCTACATATAGTTTTGAAGATCAACCACTAACCACCAGTAAATTCTCCGGCCTTTGTTCATGGCATTTCTCTTCGCTATGATCGACGATAATCGAACCGATCAACAGCGGCCCTTTTCTTTACGACATATGAGCAGTGCAAAAACCGATTGGTGCCGAGTTTATTGCCCAACATTTCCGCTCCGGTTTCCCATATTATCTCGGCTTCTTTAGGGGAAATAGTAAGTTACACTTTAAGACTGGCATCAATTTTAAAGGACAATGAAAGTCTAATCAAGGCATGAACATTATTCAATAGGCTGCATGTTTAGTCCGCGTGCCCACTGAAGTTGTCAAACAGCGACAGCAGACATCTACGTACGGTACAAATACCACATCAGCTGATGTGCTCAAATTGGTTGTTCAGCAAGGCGGGGCTAGAGCCCTCTATCAAGGATTTCTAATTACCATCTCACGTGAAGTAGGTCTCCCGAGGGCTTTGCCTCTCTTCCCTCAATGCCTCAACTTGACTGATAATATATGATGTTTCATCATTCCCCTTTCTACAGGTTCCGTTCGCTCTAATCCAATTTCCTCTATACGAACAACTCAAGCTATACGCGAAGGCTAAAAGGCAGTCATCATCTCAAAAGGACCTTCCAGCCCATCTTGCTGCATTATGTGGTAGCATCGCAGGATCAACAGCTGCAGCGATCACCACGCCTTTAGACGTGATCAAGACTAGGATCATGCTCTCTGAACGTTCAGGCCACAAGCGTGTCAGGATTTTAACCACATTGATAGATATACAAAGGAAAGAAGGCTTTTCGGCTTTTTGGAAAGGGCTTATACCACGAACGCTGTGGATCGGATTAGGAGGTGCTGTGTTTCTTGGGGTTTATGAGGCTTCTAAGTTACATCTTCCGCCGTTTATCTGATAAGGTAAGACTACCAAATGTTTGAATCCAGAATATACGACGCCTTTCAACAGGGGACTCGTATTCCATGAGTCGTCAAGCCTCGGTGTCCAACTGCATTCCCATGCATTGCTTTCTGAAAAGAGCATCTGATACATAGGTACATGAGGCTGTCATTGACTCGCATCTACCATATAGCCTTTGAGTCTACATCTAGCTGTAGCAGGCCTGACTTGAGAAAATCATTGTACTCTAACTTGACTAAGTCCCTCCTCAACCGCGCGCGTCCTTCCCGCAGTCTCCGGGGGCGTCCCTGCGGGGGTTAGGAGCTCATTAAGCTAGATTGTACTCGACTTCAGACACAACAAAGAATGTTACCTCGATCTAATCCTGATTCTGAAATGTCGAAAGGGACTTGTAAAACCTCCGGCTCAGAGCCAAATATGCGTTTTCAATGAGATATAAAAATGACGATAATCTGTAAACCCACGTAGGCCGGAAGCCAATGAGTGATCACCGCCAATGACCTAAAAAAACCAGTACCTCATGGGGAGGCTAAAGAACACAGAGACAAGAGTTATACCAATACAAACCTCTGATGAAGCCACCACGGATATACTGACAAGAGAAGCTTGTATCAACAATCGAATATAAACCATAGGAGGGTCAACAGAAAGATGAAGTGGAATAGCAGAAAATGATTGGTACACAAGCATTGATGTCATGCATACATTGCAATAACATTAGTAAAGTTTATCCTGGTTATCAATCAATCGCCAACCCCCCCGTCGGGGTGAAAATTGCAGCAAAAGCCTTTGGCAAAAAGATCAGGCAGCATATCCTCGGAGTGATATCGGAACTATGATCTCTCATCTAATCCTAAAACTTCTAAGATTAAATTGGGAACTGGTATTGGGAATTCGATAAATGGCTGGTAGCTTAGTCTTTGTAAGACGCCTCCGTCTTGGGTTAGTCAACGGGAAGTTGGAGCAGGAAAAATCATATCCTAGCGGTAATTCGCCGGTTGGATGTTTGTCAACATTCAAGAGGCTTGGTTGAGTCGTGGCATTCGATGTGGGTGGGCGGCAAACATCTCTCATCAACAGCGGGTTTGTAGCCGGAAATGGCGCGATTGAAATTATCAACACTGTGAGAGAGATTCTAAAAAGTTATATTACACATGGGCCATTCTTCACTATCATGTACCATTTAGATTCAACAAAGAGCAACATATTCCATCGTGAATTCGTTCACTAGTCGACTTGATAAGATAATATGCACAATCAACATTTGACCAACAATGAAGAGACCCTCATGCTTGAGCATATTTCCGAGTCCACTCTTTGCTCAATTGGATCGCACCAGCCTCATCTGTCTTGTAATGTTGAGCAACGTCGTTAGCCAAAGGGTCGTCCTTTCATCAACAAGATCAAGAGTAATGGATCCGTCAGATCAATTCATAAAGCATCAGGAGGTACAGTCAAGCGCCATAGTACTCACTGGATTGGGTGTTGAGAGTAAGGCTTGAACCGAAAGTAAGACTGTTCGGATCTGTAGAGCTGGAGACCACCGATCTATCGTAACATGGAAGCATCAAGTTGATTTCTTAGTTTCTTTATTTGAGATTGGTGATAATCTTCAAACTGAGAACAGTTAAGAACCTTTCAAAATGTCTAAACAGATCCTTCCTAGCTTATCAATGTTGGGATGATAGATCTTAGTCAAGAATCGCACTTTGGGTGGTGACATTGGATAGTCTTCCGGTAAGAAGAGTTCGAGCTTAAACAGACCGCCTTAGTAAAACAAAACAGACGTAAGATAATTCAGATCATGTAAGCTTTGAGATAACAATCGAGTCTACCAATCATTTGAGAAGGGTGGTATTGATGAATATCAGACCTTGGAATGCGCTGCCTTCCGGACCCTGTAGCTTAACGTCGAAATATCGGAGGTTGTCGTCATGAGGCACGGCCTCAATTCCGGGAGGTGCATCGGAGACTAGCCTTTCGGTTTCCTGTGTATGTTATGCATGGTCGTTAAAAGATCAATTCGCTCGGCTATCGACTTTGAGAATCATCAATGACCTTGACAATTCGTTTAGGAAGTGAAGATGCCATCGTTCAAAGCCTTCGCTCCAATAGTGAAATAGTTCGGTCGTTCGAAGGCTCAAGATAGCTCAAGATAGCTCAAGACGTTTATGATGGTTATGTAGGGGCGACCGAGGATACTCTCCAGACTGCAGTCACGTCACTTCACTTCAAAGTTCAGCTTGAACCTGTCACCACTTTCGCTCCCTGTGACATTTGCTTGTACTCGGTACACGTGACCTTTTTGCAACCCCCATTGTCCCATTTTCACGGGCATATCGATGATTCACCACAACGCACCACTGTCTTCTGACACGCTTATCTACATAACACCTCACAATCTCACCCACCTCGTGTTTCTGCCGGGTGCTGACATGTATCATTTGGCCATGGACGGACTTGCCATTCTTGTTCAATCAAGTATAAGTAATACACTTTGGACATTTGCATAGTACAAGTTGCATTTTGAAGATGAGGATGTGGTGGTAGGGTGTGGGAAGTACTGATAATGAGAAGTTCAAAAGTTAAAGGTTTCAGAATTTTCCTTGAGGATACTGACTAGATAAAATCAAAAATGATGAAGGTGAAACAATATAATATCTAAGGTGGACAACATGAAACTTGATAGTCAGCATATTGCCAATTTTCTACATAGCTTTCTCCAGAGTTTTGACTTGCATTGGTGAAGATTCAAAATCAATGGATGTGGAAGTGATGGTGGTGGTATGTTGTAATTGATTGAGTAGAAGGAGAGTTGAGGAGGGTGTGAGGTTGAGGGCGTCAGCTGACCTGCGGGCTTATTGAAGCTGTGTGAGGTTGACTGCATCAAATGACCCCACAGGAGCATTCACAACAACCAGTCCGTGGTGTTGCCACAACGCTGCTTCTGTGGTATCAGCTCTTTGTGTGTAGTGCAACTGATCTAAGTGCATGTGTTGAAGTGGATTTGGTATGGGGAACTGTGTGTAACACTAAGGGCGTGTTTAGTCAGGCAATTTCTGAGGCCAAATCACATTCTGCAAAATTTAAAGTGTCTATTTGGTGGAGCATGTTTCATTTTTGCATTAAAATATTCACACAATGTGATTTCTGGTCAGAATTTACTAAAGTGAATGTGCCCTAAGTATTGACAAACCGGAATGGATTATGTGCTTACAAACTTAGACATATTGAGTGTACAGATAGGACATGACACATTACATTTCCAACAACAAGCAGGCATTCATGTGTAATTGCTGGTTTCCAAGGTGTAAGATACATCATCACCAAAGCTGTCATTCACAATGCTGGGCAATCACAGCTCACCAAAGAGTAGCAGTTGATTAACTGATTGAAAATGAAACATTCGACATTATCTGATTGTGAATTTGAGTTGTGTGTACTGGCTTTGTCATTGTTTTGCAATAGATATATTGTGAAATTAGATTATTTAGGTATTGTTGACTCAAGAAGTGAGCTTAACAAAAGCAAAGTCCGCAACTTGTACCCACTTTTCCAAGGAGTAGCATGTATGTTCTGCCCTGCATTGTCACAAAATCAAGAGCCACTCGGCAAATTTTTATAATCTGGTACAACGTTTTACAAGATAATAGCCATAAATAACATTTAAAGCCTCAAATCACCTATAACAACCCTGAGCCAGTTACGCTACGTAGCGTTAACCAAGGTTTTTTCGTAACGCAGCTCCGTTACACGTCACAAAGGCCCGTTACAGGTGTAACGTAACACCGGATACCAGCAACAGGATTTCCTGCCTATACGAAGCTCAGCTCCTAACAGCAACGCCACAGTTACGCTGCAGGAGCTACTGCGTTATCCGTAGCACCCGCTAAACCCAGTTAACGGGGAGCAACGCAGCAGCGTTACCGCGCCAAAAAAGGCAAGTTACTCACATCTAAAGTAGCGTAACAGTAAATCTTGTATCATTTGTATTGGCATATCAGTAGTATCAGTAAACAAGAAGACTTCTTCAAGCAAAAGAAGAAAGTGGCATAGCATAGATTGTATGGACTAAGATTGAGAAGAAAAGAAAAGCATAGCATAGTATGTGCGTAAAATAAAATGTAACCACCACATCAATCCAGCGTTACACCTAATAATTTGAACAGGGAGGCCAGTTCTGCAAATTCAACACCAAGCCCCACACCTTCTCTTAACCATAGCCGACTCGATACCAGAGCTTCGATAGTGCGTACAAGCAGACTGCCTCGATCACTGGCACAAACGTCGGCTGCGCAAGAAAAGATTCGTTCCGCCGCGCACGAAGATCCAGTTGTTGCAAGGTAATCACGTGCCATGATGCCAAGAACACGGTAATTCTTTTCATGACACTACATTACCAGCAGGGATGTTAGTATAATTGTTAAAGTCACAATTATAATGATAAAAAGTTTGCTTACCGACCACCACTCAAGACCAGCCTTTGGGTCTGCCAGATTATAATCAGTACTGCGCATCTTATCAGACATCTTCAAGTAATTCTCCAAAGAATTGTCAATTGTGTCTTCTTGTTCTTCGTCTGACTCAGTGTCATCGTGAAACATCTTGGCCCGGTGTGCCAAAGGATTAGAGCTAGTGCCAGATTGATGACGGGGTGAAGTGGATTCGTATTCAGAGTAAATTCGTCGTAACATTGATTCAGCTTTCATAGGAATCGATGCCAACTTGCCACCAAACCATTTGACAAAGAACTTTAGTCGAAACAGAGGATGTAGCATTGTTGCCATGACCAGGCTCTCGCAGCCAAGGGCCTCGTCAAGGTACTCCTGAGTCTTCTGGAGCATCTTCGCCAACATGGGGTAAACGGTGTCTGATGTACTTAGCTTCTCAACTTTCTCCTGCAGCTTATGTCGAAGTTCGACGTATTCGGGGATCACCATGCACCCGGTAGGCCCATCGCCTTCCATCTTGAGGGTCGTGGTAAGAAAGATCTAATCATATGACAATCAGCATGGTTGGAATGACGATGTAAAGGTTAGGGTACGTACCTCAAGCTCATCATTGATCCTTCGCACTTGAGCCCATTCAGATGTGGTAATCTCAAGTTGATGGAAGTACCCATAGGGCTTCCCGTTTTTGCGTGGACGCCGCCCAACCGCAAGAACACGATCAAGATCCTCCTTACATAGTTGGTCAATTACCTGTGACATGTCAATTAACATGATTTGATTAGTATAATTGAATCCATGTATGCAAATATAAAGAGCAAACACTTACACTTTGGGCGAGCCAGGCCTTGTGACGACTTTCGTATTTTATATTCCACCTTATTCCATACCCAGCAATAAGTGAACCTGTGAAACCTTTCTTCGCACTGACCCGCGCGAATTCCTTGCGCCAGGATGCTGAACGAGTGATCCTGCGTACGATGAAGTCGACCTGTAGAAATAATTAAATTTATTCAAGTATGTAAGCAGATCATATCAAGATGACAGTTCAATGAATGATGAACCGGAACTTACCTTGTTCAAGACGTAGTCCAACTGATTAGCTTGTCGACGATGAGTTGGGACAACTTCATTCTCCAACAAGACTGCAGGGGTTTCTTCATCTTCAGCGTCGGCGCGGTCCCATTCAGCTTCATCTTTGATGGCCCCAGGGACCTCTTCACTAACAATTGGCGGTTCTAAATCTTCCAGTTCGTCAGTATCGTGTTCTGGAATGTCATCTTTGGTTGAAACTGGTTGTTGATCCAATTCTTCATCCTCGTCCTCCTCTTCAATAGTTCCAATGATTGGAAAATGACCACGTGCCGCTGCTTTGACTTTTGCAGGAGGGGGAGCTTTCACACCGAGCTCAGCTAAGCCAGCGTTGACAATCAACGCTAGCTTATGGCAAAAACAGAATATGTGCATCTTTGACGGGTCCCATTGATACTTGATCCCTTCTTTCTGAGGCTCCAGAGAGAACTGCCTATGCATCTCGGCAGCCATCGTCTTGTTGTTCGAACCCAAGTCGGTGGTCTGGCAGAGGATGTGAGAAATATGAAAAAACAATGTCAGCCTTTATGACAATAAGAAGAACGGTGATAAAAATATATACATATCTTATGATGAATACGGTTCTTTACCAAAAGATTGACGATTGGTTCAGCCAACCATGGACCGTGATGGTGCCATGCAACAACCTTCAAGCCCACATGCCGCACGTGATAGTTCCATTTCGTATCAATGAAATTTACCGAAGCTCCAATAAACCCGTGTCGATTACCTTTGCTCGTCCAGCCGTCGTGTACAAGATTAAAGCGGGATGTAAGTTGCTGAAAAGAAACAAACATTTTCAGTTACCGAGCCAAACTGAAAAGAAACTTGAATAAGCAATAGTACACACCTGGAGCTCTTTGAAAACGTTTGATTTCAAAGACTTATTGATGTGTCTTGCTTCGGTGGAAACCCATTTGCGACCGTAAAGCTTGGCGTCATTTCGAAGATACCTTACCATAGCCCTGAGGATAGGGTCTTCAACACGATTCCAAGGTAGCGCGTGTCAAATCAACCACGTGCAAGCCATTTGGTTGAAGGTGACATTGTTGAACTTTGCGCCGGGGGTGGTTGTGACGAATCCATCAAGAGGTCCGAGTTTCTTCTTCTCATTGAACCGTCTCTCTGCAACTGATAGAGGTACTCCAAGTGATTTATCTTCCTTGGCCTTGAGGCGTCCAGGACAGCCTTTGTCAGATCGGCCTACGGCGGTGTATCCATCGCGATGGGATTGAAGGTTCCCTGTCAAATTGCTCAAACTGACACGAACAGGGTCCTTTTCGCCCCGGTGGCAGAAACGACACGCATATGACAATGGTGCTTTTGTTTGGTCCTAAAATTGGGATCAATCAAAAACATAAAAGATGAAAAATAAGTTAAACATAATCAAGTTGAATAAAAGGTACGAGGAAAAACTTACATCATCGTGTCGGTGCACAGGAGGGAGGAAGTAAGCTCGAAGTTGAGCTAAATCGGTAGCACTATTGTCATCTGCCTTGTGCCTCTTGCGAACCACTTCACTGCCGATATCGTCGTCAGAATCAGCACGTAACATCTTTCTGGTTACATTAGAAGAAACGTACTGAGATTTCAAAATTAGCAATGGTGGATGGTCAATTAGGGAGGCACGTTGAAAACACTTACTTGATCGTGTTTCTTGTTTGATTTGTTTACAGGGTTTTTCTTCCGGGAAGTGGAACGGCCAGGGTTGACAACACACACAATCGAAGAGGCGTCGGAATTGTGATCCGGATCGTGGTCGGGGTCATCGATGGGATCAGTAGCTGGCGCTTTGCGTTTAGACTTATTTGTTGATTTCTGAGGTTGAACTTCGTGGTCAGAAGTGATTGAGATTCGTCGACGACTATCTGGCGAGGGTGAAACCATTCCTGGGTGGATGACAGGGTTTCTGATACGGGTAGGCCGGGACGGGGTTTCAGACACAATCGAGGAAGAGGGCATAGTGATTGATGTGAAAGTTCGATAAGCCAAGGGAAAAGTAAAACAAAGATGATTGGATGATAAAATCGAAACCGATGGTTTCTGTTGATGGTGAGCAGTGAAAGGAAGGAAGTGAGAAGGATGTGAGCAAGGGAAAACAAAACTGGGGAAAACAAACGAAGGAAACGTACTCTTCGGAAACCATAAAGGTGACGGCCTTGATGCCATTCCACCCCTTTGCCCCCTGGCTGGTAGCGTTCTCGAACGCACCAAATCATACGAATTTGTCCTTAGGTTGGTTAATTAGTCTTCTTTGGGATATGAGCAATTGACTGGTTGAGGTATGTTTGAGGCGTCGACGTAAACCCTTTGCCCAGATAGGATTAGTGTGGAAGGATACTTCTGGGACCGTTACACCGTTACTTAGCGGTCCCGGGGCGCTAATGTTACGGTGGTTAGCTGTAAGAAAAATACTGGCAATCATGAGACTTAGTAGCTTAGCTGTACGACCCGCAGCACGGGTACCGCTTCTTTGTAACGTTACGGGGTCAAATAACCGTTACGCCGCGCTCCGCAGCACGCAACAGAGGCGTAACTGGCCCAGGGTTGCCTATAAGTGCAACTTTTTCCCTTTTGTGAAGCCTGTGAGTCATCCAGTTGTGCCTTCACTTCACCATATGTTCCATAAAAATTTCAATTGTACTGCATGCATTTTTCTTGCAATATAGGCAAGCCCTCCACACCAAATATTGGGCATCTCAGTGGTGGTTGAATTGAAGAGCCAACCAGCTTTGTATCATATGTCAGGAAAGAGCTTGGGGTGTGTGTAATGCTGACAGATTTTTCCATTATCCTTGTGTCTACAGAAGTGGAGAGAGTCTACTGGGAATATCAAATGAAAAAAGGAGTGGTGATGTTGCCCCTGTGGTGAATGTGGTCAAGCAGCTTGCATGCACTGATGTAGAAGCAGAATTGAGGCATTTGATTGGGGAAGGTACATAGCAAGAAAGCCAAAAGAATTGAGTAGTCTCCTGGTCAGCCAATCAGAGAATAGCGGAAGAATGGAGAGCAACATAGACAAACTGTGCTTAACTCTCAGGATAAAAAAATGTTTTCCATGCCAGTATAATTCCACAGTGCGGACTAAAAACTGTGTGTTGTGGGATTGACTGCAAGCAAGGCACACACACTTTCAAGTCTTATTTGGGGTATCTTCACCCTCCTGAGTGGCTTTGTGTGAGCATTACACACAAACTTTATCAGCTTGCTGTATTTCATCAATATTTATCATTTTGGTGGTGTTCCAATTTTGGGGACAGTTGGGTTAGATGCACAATTTTGACCAGGGTGGTTGAATATGGAGGTGAGCAAAACTTTAGATATAGTTTACTCAAGAATTGAACTGGGTTTAGGCATCGTACGTTCTTGAAGATTGCATGTTGCTGAGACTTCTTGTGCTGCAGCCAAGAAATGTTGCACCTGGCAATTGCCTCCAAGGTGCTTTTGATGTTCTGGACAGAATATATCACTGACCTGGCCAAGAGGTGCAGTGCATGGACCATTTGAAGGATGTAAACCATCAGCTGCCGCAAGTTTGCAGAGTTGATCTGAGGTTGTGCTGCATTGCACATATGACTTACATACCAATTTGAATTTCTGACCCTCTTTGGCCAAAGAAACCAGATGGATGCAGCTCAGGCACACATGATCACAATGTGTACAATGGCAATGTGTGGTGCCTTCTAAGTTGTTCGATTCCAATCACTGCCAACATTTTTACCTCGGATCTCACATGGGTCTAAACCCTTGGACAGCTCTTGTCTGAGGATTTGATCCAAGCCATTTCATGGCCCATAAGATTTCCTTGGATTGGGACCTTGGACAGGATTTATCCAAGGATTTGCATCTGATGATGCCTGGGATTTTTCAACCCACGGCAAATATGGGGGCAGTGAATGCATATGGCATTGGGAGATGGTAGCAATGCTTGCTTTTGGTGCAGATGAATCTACAACCAATTATTGGATGAGTGCTGAGTTGGCATGCCCCAGAATTTTTTTTATCTCCAATCCATCTGCACAGGTCACTTTTTACATGGAGGATTGCACCATTTGTACACCATAGAGTCGTGGGATTGATATGTTTTCAACAAATGACCAGTTAAACAGGTTGACAAGATTGAAGTTCAAGACAATAGAGGGTAGAAGTAGGAACAAATAGATGGGGATGAGCATTAATCATTGTATTCATGTAGTGAAAAACTTGTTCACTGTGAAAGCATTTGTCCAATGCAAAGAAATCCATCCAAGCAGTGTGTCATGAATAGATGACAAGAGACCTGGTAAGCTTCTTGGTTTTGACCATCCTGTGCCTAATGATAGGTCCAAAGGCCTTGGAGGGGGTATGAGCTGGGCCTGTAGTGTGTAGTGCACTCTGGAGATGAAAAAAAGGACTGATTGGTGTCTAAGGGAGTGTGAAGGGGGGTTTCAGGTCCAATTTTGGCTTACTAGGGCACTTCATTGATGGGGTGGACACCATCCATGTCATACAAGTAGATATTGAGATGCAAGAAATGCTGTAGTTGGATTTCAGGGATGGAAGGTGACAGGGTGCAGACCCAAAAAATTTACACAGGAGCTGTGAGAAATAATTTAGGGATTGTGATGGAGATTTCAGGCCAATGACCATTCTGTTGAATCAAGAAACCAGGATTGATTTGAGTTTGAGAGATAACAGGGAAGAGTAAACACCATAGGCAACTCCAGTTTTTTTAGAGAGAGTGACAGTTGAAATGATTCTTGCAGGAAGGATACAAGCTTTTGAGGGATAGGTGTTGAGCTCCTTTGGTACCAGTAAGACCTTGGCAGCCAGTGTGGCAAACTGTAGGAATTTGGTCAACTTGAGAGTGGCATATAACTCTGGTCATTCAGATGAGATTGTGTTGAGGAGCATTGAGAGAAACATGAAAGTTTCAGTTTGACAAATTGAAGATTTGATGGATGGTGTGAGTGAGATGAAAGAAGAAGTGATTGGAAGAGTGAGAGGATGAAGGGCACAATCTTGGGGTTATGACTATCCAGAAGGTTGAGCAAGGTTTTGGTTCTGGACAGTGGGGTGGTTGAACTGGGGGTATCATTTCACAAGCCTGTCAAGGGCTTGTTGCTTAGGTGTTGCTGATTGTGAGCAGCCAGTTGGTTGGGTGGTGAATTGGGTGTGAAGCCATTGCATGATGTGTTTAAGAGGGTTCTGATATTCAGTGTCCCTCTGACAGCAGGAATTTCCCAAAGGCCATGTCTTTAGTCTATTGAGATCAAGGGTTTCTTGGATGAAAACAGAATAAGCTGCCCAACTGATTTTATTGGAAAATCAGATATGAAAAATCAGATATGATGTGGTATAGATGCACTTCACAAGATTCAAAAAAGAGACAGACAATGCAATGACCAACAGTGTCTGAAAACAAATTCTCTTTGAATTCACATTCTCTTTGATCAATCACAATGCTGGCAAATATAATGTTTGATTGATTGCCAACATAAATTTGAGAGACAATCTCATATTTCCTGATAGGTTCATTTTATCAAGAAATTGCATTTAATTCCATTTGGCCAAGGCATGATTCAAGTGATTGGCATATGTGGAGCTTTGAAATTCATGTTTTGGGTTATATCCTTTCTCCATCCAGTCAAAAAAAACCAACTTAGTCGCAAAGCTTGGGAGTTGGTACATGTATTGACATATGGGAATGGGTCAAAGAAAGGCTTTTGGATAATACTAATAGTAGTTAGGTAAGAATCAACCTCCATTCCTAACAAACAAAAAAGCATATAGTCTATCACATCAAAAGAAGATTTATCTTTTTTAAATGTCTAGAAGGATTGGAGTTATAGAATCATTCAAAAGAAAAATTCCCTAATTCTCAACTCATTTTTCTATAATCTTAAAATTCATAATTTAAAAATAATTATATTCATCCATTCTATTATCCTAAAGTTTTTCTTGAAAGTGCTTTTGACTAGAAAAACCATTGCCCATCCAGGATGGGGTAAGGGTTTTACAGCAAACTAACAAAATGTTCCTTCAATTCTGTGAAAAATTGGTCAGCCAGTAAAAATTTATTCGGCATAACAACATGATATAATTAGGTTGTAAGGGTGATACATGTCAGATATGAGAACCGCCCTCAGAACTTCCGCGTTTCTCAAGTTCTTTTGTTTCAAGTCTCATGTCTGATTTGATTTTTTCCCAAGCTTTATATGATGCTGATAAAGCTTGCCTCTGTGGTCGCTCAGCGTGAACCCAGATACTTAGTATCTAGAGCCAGAACACCCATCCCCTCAAATTAATCAGGCGATTCCAAGCGGACTCAGATTTGACGCGCATCTGTGAACCCATTCAATGCCTGGTAACCATCAATTGTCTTATCACAAAGGACCAAATTGACATGCGTCCTCTGAATCAAAAATTAAATACTGACGTTACTTTCTTTATGATATTGGTGTCAAAGATTGCCTTATATATTCGACGAAAAACATCCCAACCGGCTCAAGAGAGAAAGCCCCATTGTCATCAACTCCCATCTCATCGGAATATTGGTTATTCGGCTGGGTACGTTTGTTGTTTAAACATTCAAACTTCCAATTCCGAGAGAAATCCTGCTAGGATAATCTAATGGTGTTGAATCAATCCCCAAGGATCTTCTCAATAAACCTCACCACCGACGCAATATCAAGCATGTAGGCCTGTGTAGTGATTCTTTTGTACTCCTGGTATGGAAATCGAGTTCAAAGAAAGTACAGTTCTTATGAATTGGATTGTGAATTCGGCCCATCTTCTCTTGCAGAAGACACAGAGTTGCCGAGATTTCAAAATTTCCAAGGAGTAAGGTCCAAAATTTCCAAGGAGTAAGGTCTTCCGTTTTAGGTGATTGAGATATCTTTGGTTTTAAAAGTCGGGGTTTCGCAGGTCACGCTCAATCAAAGAACTGTAAGGCTTGCAATGAAAAGTAAAGGTCAAGAACAATAGTCTTTTGAAACTGACAACACTTCTTTCTTTTGAGCAGTTGTCAAAGTTGTTGTTGAAATCGTTGCTTTTGACCGGGGGCCAGCCTCAAATTACCGCACCTTCACCATTGAAAGAAATACTTTCCAAATCGAGACCCCCATGTGGCAAAATCGTACCTTCCTTTAGATGCAATCCAGTGATGGCATCGTGCTTTTCTCGTGCTTTTGAGGCCACTATAAACGCTTCCCTAGCTGAGAAATGTGATTGCAGACCTTTCGGATTCAGCGACATTGCTTATTTCCACTTGATCATCATCGATAAATTCATTGAACCAATTCATATCACTGCTTGAAAAATCGGCTACACATCTATCATCGGCTCGGATATCACAACTACCAGAAAATGCTTAACAGATTACCGGCGGAAGCACTGGATCCTATCATCGAGCGTCTCCTCGAGTTAGACATGGCTGCACCCGGAAATCCCATCTATCCGCACGATGGAAGATTTGAAGCAGGTAGGCATCGGCGGACTTGCATTCTCTTTCTTTCAATAATCCAAGTACTAGCGAATGAATTCTAAATTTTATTTCTTACATCCTTGCAGCCCATTCCTTGAGAGCATTATCAGAAGTGACTCTTGGATCGAGTCAAATAAAGCCCTTTCAGGAGGCCTGTGAATCCTTTATATGGAGGGTGAGCAATATTCTCACGATATATGAGCCATTGCAAAAATGCTGATCTATAATCTTGACTCTCTTTCACAATTGTTTTGGCAAAAAGATCTTCCGATGTGTCCTAGAAGATTGCGATGAGATGGCCGCTGATCCTAATCTTGATTCTGTAGCCAGACATGTTCGCTCATTCACAGCTTCGATGCGCATAGACACCGAGAGTGACGCTTCATTTACGCAAACTATAGAATGGATGGGAATCATGGACAACATCTTGAATAAATTCTCTGATCTCAATCTGAAGCATATCCGCCTACACACCCACGCTCAGCTCGTCCAGGGCACGCCATCGATTCTCGAGGACTCGGCCAACCTTGATCGCCTGCAAATTGCTCACCAGCAAATCATCTCTTCTTTGAGTAACTTTCCTTCTTTGACTGCGTTGGACCTTGAAAATTGTTTTGCTTTGGTGTCAGAGGATATTGTCTCTCAATGCATTTTTCAACTTCCCAACTTGGTTCGATTCCGAGCTCAGGAAAGTGCGTTGAAGCCCGATCTCGATTTGACTCAAGGCTCAAGGCTTGGCGAGTCTTTGGCATCTCGTACGAAATTGGAGAAGCTGAGTTTGAAGAACTTGGCCTATGTAAGTCCTGCTTGGTGTGACTTGAACTGGCAAGGACCTTTGACAAGTTTGAATTTGAGGGGTTGTGGAAATTTGGAAAACCAAGCACTATTGCGTTTCATCCTCAGTATCCCGTCCTTGGAGAAGATTCGCCTACAAGATCACCATTTCAGATCTCTCGACATATTTACCGACATTCATGGAATCCCATTCCCAAACTTGGAACGCTTTACCTTTCTTGGGGACAGTCTTGAGCACCCTCTCTTTGATATATTGGCAGAAGCTCCCTTACTTGAAAAAGTACATTTGCATTCAACTCCAGTGCGGGATTGCCTACGCGGAATGCAACGTTCTATCGAAGTAAGCCATGGGTCTTGGGCAAGTTTGAGGACTGTTATTATATCATTTATTAGGCCTGACGATCCAGAGAGGATACGGCTTCGTGAGTGGGGTGTTGCAAGAGACGTCGCAGTCAAGTTTCATTTCGGTATCACGGCATGGAACACGCCTGAACTTCAAGTTTTCGATTTATCTTCTGATGAAGAGACTGGCAACGGAACCGCAGCACCAAATGATGACCAAGCTGATCATGCCAGTGAGGCAGAATCCGAGCCATCAGATCACAGTGAGGCAGAATCCGAGCCATCAGATCACAGTGAGGCAGAATCCGAGCCATCAGATCACAGTGAGGCAGAATCCGAGCCATCAGATGCCAGTGAGGCAGAATCCCAGCCATCAGATGCCAGTGAGGCAGAATTCGAGCCAGAAGATGACAGTGATGTTAGCGCCCCAGAAGATTGGGAATTTGTTTGGAGACCACAAACTTTATAAAAACTAGTCTTCAATCTTTTCTATCTTAAAGATCCCGTGTGGAAGCCTTGTATTTATACTCTTTCTTGCGCAGTAAATTTGTAATTAATTCTCCGAAGTCCGTACCCTAAACTCAACCCAAATCCCTCAAAATCCCTCGCCCAAGCCAAAATTACTGGACTGGTCCAGGGCTTGAGCAGTAGGTATATATGTAGGAAGCCGTATGCCCCCTTCTGCAAGGGAGCGGCGGAGGATCCAACCTCCAGTGAGAATGAGTTAGCTTAACAAAGCCCTCTCTGCGCGGCCTTTGTTAAGCTAAGAGAATGAGACACAAAGGGTGGAGGATCCAACCTGGCGGGAGAGGGAGACTCCACCGTTCCCACTTCACGTGAGACTAGGGGAGACTTCAGCAAAAAGTACAGTTTGATACTGTATTATCTTCAGAAATACAGTGTCATACTGTGGCACCCTGTGCCACCAATCCATTAAATTCTATTCACGTTTTGTTAGAGGAACAATTTTCTTTCTCAATTCTCTCATTATGTCACTTTCATATTTTATCTTGTATTATCTATTAATTGTTAACATCTCTAATATCTACTACACAAAGTTCTACCAAGTCATTAGACTGTATGCTATGCAACTTGAGTCACAGTACAAACAAGCTACAGTGCGTGTGTGGGGGGGGCCGGTAGGTCGCGGGTCTCATGACCGGGTAGGCCTCTGCGTGGTAGGGTGCAGGGGTGGGTGGGAGGTAAAGAAAATTTTTATCGTGCTTGATGTTCGATTAAGCAAGTGGGATGTGTTAGCGGGTTTTTCTCACGACGTGTAGGATGTGTATGTTTGGATAACGGATCATGTAGCTGACCCGGTCTCTCACAACCATCCCCAACAGGATGTCTGCCTCGTGCACACGGCTCAAACCAATAACTGACAACATTACTTCGGCCTCGGCATTAGGCTTCATTGACGACGTTGTTTTGTTGTCAACCGCAAGCGACACACATCAGTTGAAATCACAGATGCAAACACTGTCTTTTCGCCAACAACAATGGGCCAAAAATCACGGCGCGATTTTTGACATCAAGAAAACATTTTGGGTTCTATTTGGCTTACAAACACCTGCTTTCATCCCTACAATTGACTTTGCCGACAGGAAAATGATCGAACCGGCCCCTTTTGCAAAATGGCTGGGCATCAAAGTCGACAATCAACTCACCTTCAAACAACACCGACTCGAAGTTATTGCAAAAGGACAACAACGAGCCGGTTTCCTAGCAGGTCTCTCGAAGACCGGCTGGGGCATCCCCCCTCACCTTATGAGAATTCTCATAACAACCACGATCCACGCAGCGACCGATTATGGAGCCATGGCCTGGAACCCTACAGAGCCGTCAAAATTTCTCATTGACAAACTGACACAGATAGACAACACCTGCGCCCGAGCGGCGCTTGGAGCACTCAGCACCACACCAACAATCTTTCTCAGGCATGACATGAACCTCGTGCCCGTGAAAATACGCCTACAAAGCAAAACTTTGAGCTTCATGGCACGCTCTTTAGCTAAAGCTAAATCACACCCCTTTTTCTCTCTTATCCAGCAGGCTCAGCATTCGAATCCGAAAAGCCACCGTAACCCTTTTCATCATTTCTTCCAACACTCTCTTCACACGCAATTCGAAGAACACGTGGTCCAACTGCCGGTGGACCCAGCCTCGACGCTAATCAGGCCGCCTAATTACTCAACAATCCTCCAGGAGGATGAAAACACCGCCACAAATGGGACGCTACGGCTTAAACCAAGCGGCCATCACATACTAATTTTCACCGACGGCTCTCGTATCCCAAACAAAAACACGGCAGCGGCAGCATGGTGCGCTAACACCACGACTTCGACTGCAGTCCACCTAGGCCCAGCACGTTTGCAAGGCATTTACCAGGCAGAGTACCGTGGCGTCCAACTGGGGCTGAAAATGGCCCTAGAAATGGCGACTCAAGCCACACACAGGACATCCATTATCCTTGATAATCAGGGAGTGGTGAAAGACTTGAAATCTAACTCATCCTCCGTCTCCTCCTTAGATAACAGACAACA